CACACACACACACACACACACACACACACACACACACACACACACACACACACACACACACAAAACTCATCCCCGTCAAAATGTATAAAAACATTCCCTCATTCTCTTTTAATTTTCATGCTATCAGCCGCCGTCATAAAAGGTGGGTGATCATGTAATTGTTCACGTCTATGTGTGTGTTTTTCCATCCTTTAGCAAAATACTTCATGAACTAGATGGATTTGAATAAAACTCTCAGGAATAAATGGTGCAAACGATAAAAACAAAATAATATAATAGTATAAAAATGAAAGTGGATGGACGTCTAAAACTGATTTTTTTTTTGAACGTGCATGTCTGCCACAGTTAACCGACCTGAGAAAACACAAAAATGGCTAAAACTGAAGCTTGGTCTGGTWGTAGCTGAGAGTGATCCTCAGCACATCCTCTAAGCTGTAACAGAGATCTTTATTTAAAACTTTGGCATACAGGGTGGTAGCCATTTCTTCAAACTTTTTAAAAAATATATATTGTGAACAGATAATGAGAAGCTTTATTTTAGAAAATGTATTCAAAAAAACAAAGTTTGATACTTTTGTGCCTGCTGTACAATAGTGGGCGTAGTCAGAGTAAAAGTGTAGAGAATGCAATTATGCACATAAAATAATGTAACTTAATGCTTTCCATTTAGGTGATATGTGCAGTTTCACAAACCCTGCATTAAGCCAGAGCCCTAAAGCACTGGGAGGAATCTAAAACAGGTGCTGCACAATGGGTTCTTCCACGGTGGTGGGGGGGGGAAGACAAACAGGCACCCCTCCTGCAGGAACTGACAGAACATCACATTCTCCAGCCAGCTGCGTTGGAGAACGTTCAGCATGTGTGCAATATATTCTGCTTTTACATTCAGCACGCCCCTAAAAACGTTTTCTGAGCGAGCAGCACATTTCCTGCTCTCTTCGCTGGATTTTTCCCCTAACATAAGACAAAAGATGGGCTAATAAAAGCAAATGAAACAAGTCTGAGCTCAGTCCTCAACACCTTGTGTGTTCCTCTGGTGAGGCTGCAGCATCTGGTGTGGATTTATACATTGACATTTTGGCTGCAGAATCAAAGCTTTTTAAAACCGAACCCACCCCCCCCAAAATCTGTGAGATGGAGTCTGCTGGCTACAAGCTTTAAATGCAAACTCATGACGGTTTGCCACGTAACCGCCTCCATGGCTTTTTTATTCACTAAAGGCATTACTCATAATAATGTCATTTTTTAAAATAATGTTTTGTGGTTTTGGATTGTTTACAAATCTTGAATTCTACCTCTTTTTCTTCTTCTTCTTCTTTAACCAGTCCAGCCCATTACCGGCACAAACACTAAAGCGCCTGCTGTGCAACAATACACACATTCACATCCCACAGACAGCAAATTGCTTCTCTCATTCCCCGCCATGCCCTGCTTTCGTTCTCAGCCACCTGCAAAACAAACTGTGCTGGAAACTTCACTACAAATTACCCTGTGTCTGCCAAATCCCCCCCGGGAGCGCTGGAAATCAAAACCCTGAGTCTCCCTGCCCCCACAGAGGCAGGCCTCAGCCTCACACACACACATACTCACACATGCAGAATATTTTAGTTTATGCAGCAACACTCACAGTTTTTTTTCCTTCTCTCTCAGTAAGTTTGGTTTAATTTTCATCAATAAGAACTTAATTTGTACAAAACAAGTTAAAAAATTTTGCTGCTCAAAAGCTGATTTTTAGTTTTAAAAAGATGACAAAATAAATGGCGTTGTCACAAACACACGCCTCGCTGGGGATCCAGTCAACATGACACTGAAACTAAAGCCCCCCCCCAGTTCCTACTAAGAAATAGTGAAAACCGAGACCTGCTTCACTTCATGGGAAAATCAAAAGGAAGGCACATACCATAGCAGTGAATAATGACCAACAGCACAGCAGTCTGGATATTGTTGGTGCCGCAGCGCCTCCTGCTGGAGGCCCCGCGTGACTTCCAACAGGCAGGAATGTCCTGGAGAGCGAGGTGGGGGGGGAGGAGGAGGAGGAGAGATGGGTGTTGAAAGCTCCTTGGAAAAAGGATTAGGAGTGTTTATGTTGGCCAAGTGGCCCACTGCCAGCTGCTCAAGTGTGCAAACTTCTTAAAGCTGCAGAGCTTCGAGTCGGCCGCGAGTCTTTTCACTCTATTTACCCTCCTCCTGGACTGTATGGATGGCTGTGCTTTGTTAAAGAGGAAAGCACCCTTCACTTCACTTCAAGCCACACCTTTGTGTAGAAAAAAAAAAAAAAAAAACTCCCTAAAATATGCAGGATTCAAAACCAGCTCCCGTCCCCTCCTAACCCACCCAGGCTCAAAAGTGGAGCGCTTTGATACGTTCATTTATATTTTACCTCTTAAACACACACGCAGGAATCCACTCTATAGAAAGATAAATCAACAGTAGGAGAAGATTCTGCCTGGGAGCTGGCAGCGGGCCAGAGCTCTGTGGCCTGGAGCTGGATCAGAGCGGCCTGACGTTGAGAAACCGAGGGTCTGAGGTCAAGGAATAATAAAAGGCAGAACAGCAAACTCCAACTTTTGTTCTGGAGTCTTAGAAGCGTTATTTTCTCCCCCCCTGAACTCATCGACTAAAGTTTGAAGCAACGCACAAAAGTTCAGGAGCTGAAGAGAAATGTAGGTGCTTTTGCAGAGCTCTTTATTTTTGCAGCTCTTTTCTGTATTTTTCCCCCCATTTTTCACACAATTGAAAAAAGGTTTTAATAGAGCATGATTTGTTTACTGACATACTTTATAATCCACAGCCTTAACATCATTTGCACATTTCTTTTGCATGTGCATCTTTACCAATTGCTTTGTCCTGGTTTGACTTACACCAAGTTAAACTAATTCCTTATTTTACTTGATATGTCAGTCTTTCATTTTGTGTAAAGGGATCTTTAGAATTTTACTGCCCAGTGTAACCACCATCTTGCTGTACATGACAGGAAACGTCATGACTCTTGAATGATCCAATGAATTTTATGTGAGTGTAGCCTGCTGTTTTGTCCAAACTCTTTTTTTGGTATTTTTTAAAAAAAGAAGAAAAGCATTGTAAATTTAAAAATATTTTTTTTCCTGTTTCTCTCAGCTTATGAGCATTCTGGACAGGATTTAAAAGTTTGATCAAGTTTTGAGTCCACACTGGGGAAACTACTAGAGCTGCTTTTTATCTGTGGGACTGCTGATTGCTGACGTCTCCAGTGCATCAGGTCACAGGTTCAGTTTTGTTGCAGCAAACTGCAGCCACCTCAGCCAACAGACATTTTCAGGTGCAGATTTGCAAGTCTACTAAAAAAAGAGGAGAAAAAAAGAAGGTATATGGGTAGAATATGGCTTGAAGCTCAGGTTTTTTGCTATTTTGTTGAAAACAACATCTTATATAATATATAAGAATACCATTTTATATACCATTTTCAAACCATAATACACTGCTCAAAAAAATAAAGGGAACACTTAAACAACGCACRCTAACTCCCGATCTTAATCAATGAAATATTCGCATTGAGTACTTTGTTCTGTAGAGTTGAATGTGCTTCGCAAAAGTTTGATTTACTTGGACTTAGCGTGCGTTGTTTAAGTGTTCCCTTTATTTTTTTGAGCAGTGTATATAGAATACCATTTTATATACCAGTTTAATACCATTATAGAATACCATTTTACATATTATATGAACGGTATTCTACTCGAACACCACGTTGTTAGTAGACTTCAGGTTCTGCAAACTAAACTGTATCAAAATTTAAATCATCAAACTACCTTACACTGGACTCTGCTCAGCAAACTGTGGAAACCCAATCTTTATCAGATCAGTTACTCTGCAGCTGCTGCAAACCAATTTGACTCTTATGTGCTGCCATCTTTTGGTATAAGAGGGTACTGCAACTGCAGGAGTTATTTGGGCCCAAAACACACACTTTGGAGCTAAAACAAAATCAATACTGTGCAGTCCTTGTCCATGGTCTTATGTATCTCAGAGTCCGTCATTACAAAAGGCTCAAAATGCATAAACAGAGTGTTTGTAAGATAAGCTGATGTATCACACTACAGGCAGGGAACACTCGAACAGAACCACATTTATAGTCATTTAATTAAGAACATGCTAATTTTCCACACAAGTCAGTATTTCACTAAAACACATCATCTACAAATGTATTTCCTAGAAAAGGCAACAAAAAAATTTGTTCAGTACCTAAAATACTTCAGACTTAAAAATATGGACACTCAGCACCATGGTGATGCTGGACTTATGTCTTGATTGTGCAAACTAAACAAAATGTCAACCAAAGAAAAAACATATAGTTTTAGGCACTTGAGATTAAAAAGATTTAAATAACATTTTGAAACGGATCGCCTATAGATCGATCAACACGTTAAAAGAACATATTGCACAACTTGGTTACAGTGAACAYTTTGGCACAGACGTCTTGGCATCATCTAAATAAAGAACATGCACACAAATAAATTAAACGGTTTTACCTCGTACGCTTTTGATAACAGAATAAAGCATCTCACTTTTATTTATTCTCGGAAATAAAATCTTTTAAAAAAGGAGTAAAACAAAAACCGCACCCGACATCATCCAYCTTTGACCTGAAAATGTTTATCAAATACTTTCATTTCAAGGAGTATTTCTGAGCTGCTAGTGTGTCAAACTGGGGCAGCTACGTATGAAGTTTCCCTTTGTTTAAGAATATTAATGCTTCTGCTTCGATTTAACTGAGAATAAAAGTCACTGCTGGTGATTAGACACAACTTGCCCTGAGTCAAAGTACTGAGAAACGAGGCTTGATTGGTTACTTTTAAAATAATAATAATAAAAAAAATGCAACAATCCTCAAAAGTGTTTTCCTACAACCTGCTCTGWTCCGGATCTTAAAAACGCTCGGTTTACATTAAACCTCAGCTTCCTGTCCTTGATGTGTTTAAAGGGGAGAGAGATGACGATTCAATAACATCTGTTGGTGAAACTACTCCATTACCYTTAGCTTTGAAATAAATGATATAAAATATGGGCAGGACGATCCCTATCAGTAGCATAGCTACTACAGCGTTCCACCACTGGATCCCCCAGTCTGCTCCGTGACTCCCTGGTCGATGTCGATGGAAACCGAACCAGTGCGGTTTCTCAGAGTTCTTCAGGAAATCCTCATTGTGATCAGATGTGGTCAGAATCAGTTTCTCTATGTCATTATCCACCTCCATGAGAAAGTCCGTGACCTCCTTCAGATGTGGCTGACCTCGAGCTCGGTCGTTAGGACTCACCGGTGATGGAGGCGAACGAGGCTTGTCCTCTTGAGGATCGCGCAGGTCCGAGAAAGTTTCTCTTAAYAAGCTGTGCTTCTGAACTGGGATTTTGATGTATTTCAGCGCAAAAAGATCTTGTTCCTGTATGAGATTGTTTATCCGCTTTAGATCGGCCACCTGTAAACAGAGGCAGGATTGGCTGTACGGTACTTTGTACAATTAAAGAAAGCTTTAGTCTTGGTGATTTATCTTTTTTACCTTACAGCCATATTGTAGCGCAAGCTTGTTGAGGTTATCACCGTCTAAAACCTCACGTTCGAGCAGCTGGACATTCCTCAGTTTGTCTTGATTCATCTGCCTCGTCTCCAAAACACCGAGCTCCTCGTCGTCCGAGGACAGAGCAAACTCATTGGGTCTCCTCCGGAACATATACACCTGGCCATCTGCGCTGGCGTGAACATCAACAGGGGCCTGGAAAGCCTGTGGGCCATGCTCCCCCCTCCACATGACGACGCACCAACCTGTAATCATATATGCAAGCTACATCAATGAAGAGCAGCTAAAACTTATCACAGAGGTTTTTCAGAATAAAAAACCTTCAACTCAACTCTAACACAACAAACAATACAACCTGGCTTACAATGGCACAGAGACCACTAAAAAAATTGTAATATTTGTCACACAGTGCAAACACAGAATCAGACAAATTTTTGGTGGATTATAAAAACAAAACAAAAACATAAATTACCTTTTTTCCAACGACAACTGTAAAATATAAAACAAAAATAAGTTAAAGAACAAAAGATCCAGTTAAAAAAATAATCACAATTCTGACATTTAATATTCCTTGTTCTTGATGAGCTCTGTTTTTAAGGAATACCAGAAGTGAAAGACAAAGTTTGTCACAGATCTAAAAAACAAACAAACAAAAACAACAACAAACATTTAGAACATTATCTTGTAGGCACAGTGTAGGTTCTGTATTTGGCTCAGATTCCAGCAAATTAAAAACCACAAATCAGACACATGTTGACCCAAAAGTGTAATTTAAAGCCTCACATGGGATAATCTGATTGGATAATTTAGAATAATTTACATCTTATTTTATTCCAGCTCCTATTTGTAAACTAATTTTCACAAAGTTAGTATTATTTTCTTTTTGTTTTAACTGCATCCAATAAAATGAGTTGTAAAACATTTTGGGAACCTTGATTTCTTTCTTTTTTGATCATATACCTATCTTGGCCGCCAAAAATGTCAACAAAGGCCAAATCTGGCCCGAGGACCCTAACTTTGACACGTGTACGTCGCTCCTATAAAGCCGAACAGACTTGAGCTAAAGAGTCAACGCACTAAAACAATAAAACAGAACCATAATCACAACTTTTCATACACACAAGCTGCTCGTTACATTTAAAGTAGACATTTCGTTTTTCTTTTAAATTTAGGTCGCTCCGCCTTCTGAAATCCAACCAGCTGGATTCAAATTTCACGTTCTTATTCAGCCAACATGTTCTCTTTAATATGTAACACAACGCTGTAAAAAAAATAAAGAAACGTTGAGCTATAATACAGCTCATTTATTTAGACAAATTAATTAAAAAAATAACTGATATGACACTAGCGAAGTCGTCTTTTTTTTTATAATACTGAAGCAGTCGAAGTTCACGCTGAGCACTTTCAACACAGCATCAAGTTTAAGCTTCAGCTTCAGGTGAGTTATCCACAAACTGTTTTATTTCACTCACAGACACAGCTGAGTTGATTAATTCACCGCACATCTTCGCCCACTTTTTAAACTTAGACTCTGATGATTCGTGTTATTACCTTATTGCTTCGGAAACAGTAAGAGAAGCCTCCACCTTCCCAAAACTGTCCTCCTCAGCTGGGGACCTTGTTAGCTCGATACCGGTAGCTACCGGTTGTTAGCCTAATTCTTCTTCTTCTCACGTGCACAGAACGTGAAACAGCGCCACCTGCTGTTCAACAGAGCGACGGACCGGTCACAAGGTAAGCCACGACTCCTGAATAAACTAATTAAAATACAGCTAAATACTAAAAAAATAAACGCATTTAATGTCCTTTTTTGGGGCCAGCACGATTTGAAAAATGATTAATGATGTTTAAGTCAAAAGTAGAAGCTTTTAAGGAGGCTAAAACTTAAATATATAGTCTTTATTCAAAAAGTTACATAGCACTTGAATTAGCGACTCTCCCTTTGATTTTACTGTTTAGCAATAGAAAAAAACATATCAATACATGGACAGCAACACTAAAAAGCTCACAGCAGATGAATATTAGTCTTGCAATGTGGCACTCAAACAGCATTTTAAAAAATAGTTAAGTTGAGTTGTAGAAAGTTGACAGTCTTGATTCTTTTGGTTCAATATTTCAATAAACCTGTACTAATTATCTCTCAAGGAAACTTGCAAATGCTAGAAGACCATGTGCACATTTATCAAAATTCATACAAAGAGGAACAAAACATTTATTCACTTCGTTAGCAATTTTTTTTTGGTCTGATATTTTTCATTCATGTATGACTCGGCCTGAGGAGGTGACACTTCTCTAATTCTCCACTAGGTGGGGGTGTTGTCCTTTCAAATGGCCTTTGTGTTCATAAAAGAAAACTGGTGTAAAATAAGATTGTTTTACCTTTATGGAACAAAGCACATTTTTTTATTTATTGTTTTATAATTTAATATTGTCAGCNACATTTATGGAACAAAGCATGTATTTTTTTATTTATTGTTTTATAATTTAATATTGTCAGCACGTGTTTTTTTGATCTGTTATTTGTGAAAGTTGTTTATTTTTACTTGAATGCTATCAGCAAGTAGAAAATATTTTTAATCAGAACGTTCAGATCAAATGACTGAGGTTTATTTAATATTGTTTAGATTTTAGTTTAAATTTACATGTATTTATATGTAGGTTTTAATAATTTSTCAGTTTCCAAATGGTTTGTCTCAGTCCTGCAACAAAAATAATTATAATGGCTTTGATAATCAATGTAAATTAATTTTATTCACTAGTGAATGTAAGACAATATGYCATTAATATTCCAGATATTTTAGCACAAAAGTGACTGACAACTTTGTGCTGGTTGCATAAAGAGCACCATGCTAACATTTTACATCAATCTCACTTATAAACTGCAGGCATGGCTCAGTTGGTAGTACATAGCTACAGGTTAGCAAAGAGACTCTGGAAGTCAACACGTTCAGTTTTTAACTAAAGTTACAAAGTCTGTTCATATAAACTGATGAACTATTACCATTTATTTTTAATGCCTCAAATGAAATGACACAAAAGAAAAAAAAACCAGAAGGCACAACTTTACAAACAAACTGCTCATAGATGGACTTGTAGACTATTTTGTAATCAGTGGTTTGTTTTTAAATAGTTTTTTCYAAAACTCAAATAGTTTTAAGTACCAATGCCAATAATGGTTCTTCTAAAATACTTCCTCTTTTCCAATTTAGGAACATTTGCTTTCTAATATTTTTATATATACTAAATGTTCTGCACATGACTACCACATTATTATTTACATTTACATTATACAACAGATTATACAGAAAAAAAAAACACTCCTCTGCTAAAAAGTTCAACCGCAAGAATTAGCCGACAATGTTTTTTGGTTCACYTTGTACAGTGTTCATCATGCTTTTTCTTGTATGAAGCAGAGTTGTAAAGTAACCAAGTACAAATACTTTGCTACTGTACTTAAGTAGAAATTTTGGTTATCTGTACTTTACTTGAGTAATTATTTTTCAGCATACTTTTTACTTTTACTCATTACATTTTTACACACTTATCTGTACTTTCTACTCACAACATTATTTAAAAAGGTAAGAAGTAGAAAGTCGTTACTCCTATTTTATTCCGAGTTGTTATTGCTTAAAAAAACCTATCCTGATAAATTGTGTCTCCTTGATTGAGTGAATTTAATTGTGTTTGGATGAGAAGTATAAATATATACCATTCTGACACCCTGTTAGCTTGTACACAACCCATCACCGCTGCGTGCCGTTAGAAAAAATATTTTTTGGAGAAGTCACCTCCCAATAAATGCCATTTTGGAAAATATAACTGCTAACTTTTACTCAGTACTTTTACTTCTAATACTTAAGTAGATTTTGTGTCAGAAATTTACTTTTGAGACTTAAGCACAAAAAAATATCAGGTACTTAAAGACTTTTACTCAAGTAATATTTTTAGAGAAAGACTTTAACTTTTACCAAAGTACTTTTATGATAAGATACTTGTACTTTTACTCAAGTATCACTTTGAGGTACTTTAAACAACACTGGTATGAAGTGCTGAATGGACTCAGAAGTGGTTCCCTGCTGAGTTAGCCTAAGGGTTCACCTCAGATATTAAGACAAGCTCAACACAGACATCACGTCGCCCCACTCTCCTTCTGCTTTATGCGAAGGCTGATTACTTTTCTGCATCCAGCTCACTGAGGTTTTCCTCCTTGTTTGTCTTCAATAATGTAAACCCAAGATTAATATGTTCCATGTCATCATTTATGTTTGACCATCTTATGGAGCTGGCTGTCTTTTCCCCCTCTGTCTCTGGGCAGCTTGAATTACACATTTCAGGGCTGCTGAGCACCTTGTGCTTCAACGTTTTTTTTTCTTTCTTTTTAATCTAATAGTAATTAACTTAGAACTGCACAAGGTGTGAGCTAATGGAGGTTAATTAGACTGAGACTTTGAAACAATAAGTTTAAATATTAAAAACTTTATTAAAGCYATATAGTTGCCCACAGAACATGTCTTTGATATTTAAACACCCCGTGGCTCATTCATCTCCTACCAAGAGATTTATAATCTTAAACAAACGGTGCAAGGAGTGATAGAAACTGTCTGGATTTGGGTTTAATGTGCTCTTTAAACTATAAGTTTTGGCACTTTTCTTGAAAGAAAAAAAACCCCCATTAAATTAACTGAATGGAAAAAGTTGCACAACACAACAATAGAGCAAAATCACACAATTTCTACAGATGGGAYTGAAATGAGTTGGTTAGAATGACAGAGAGGGCCTGACGTTTTAAAAATAATTTAAATAAAATTACTAGTTAGTAAGTTATTTAAAAAATGCCATACTCGTGAAAGAACAAACTGAATAATTAAAGTTGTGTGTTTGATTAAAAAAAATCACTTGGTTAAGGCTACAGTCAATATACAGAAAAAAAGTTTGACAAATAAACAAAAACAAAACACACAAACCATAAAATGAAAATTCAAATCTAATCCAAAATGTGTCGTTATTTTCTCCCTCTAATAATCACTCCTTTGCCATATTTTGCAATAATATCAGTGAAAGTTTTCATCACTTGTTAAGTACTTGACCTTTAGCTTCTTAAGAGTTTAACAGTAAATAAATGCAACAACATAAAACTGCAGTTTGGCAGTTATGTTTCATCYGTGTTAGTGATGTTCAGTACCATTGATTTCCTGTCTGATTCTGATGCAGAATAAAAATCRGACTGTTCAGTGATACTGATCTGATGCTTTATGCAAATAAAYCTAAAATGTCTGGTAAATCCAAAAAAAAGAAGTGAATTAAATCACATGCTCTGCGATGGACGTGCCTGCCTCTCGCACAGTGACTGCTGGATATGGGCACCAATCACCCCCATGACCCTAAAAGGAAGAAGTATATAACGATATAATGGAATGGATTTYAAATCACAGCTTCATAAAGAATACAAGACATCTAAGTAATTTATTTAATTTATTTAAAAAAATACTGAGATAGCGTCCTCATTGACAGTATGATCAATCTGATACAACAGAAAAAACAGACTATCATACAAAATATGGGGAAATAATGTTTTAAACAATAAAAATAAAGTAAAAATAGTACAACCATTAATAAATTATTGTTTAGTTTTGAAGAACTACTATAAAAATGAAAACCTGCATCCTAATTTACGTAATGTGAACACATCGACAGACTGCACTTAYGCATTACGCACTTAACCAGGCAGAATTAAAAGTAGTTCCCACCAACTYTGTACATTTTAGATTACAATAAGTATCAATATTTTGATTTTAGAATCGATTTTAGAGCATAAAGTTCTGGTGTCTGTCAGTACCCATCTTTCCATTCATTAGCTTTATCTGCTTTTTTTACTCAGTGGTTGCTGGTGCCTGTGTCCAGCAGTCACTGTGCAAGAAGCAGGCTGCACCCTGGACAGGTCACGAGTCCAACTCAGGGCTGCATAGACATGAAGASGATAGACAACTATTCACGTGCTCACGACTGTTCTGTGTACAGAGAAAAGCCACGAATGCATGGCTCCACACACTTAAACTTCTTGCAGAAAAGCCCCAGCTGGGAGGTGAAGCTGCAGTTGTCTTGCTGTGGGGCGAAAGCTCTAACCAGCTGTGTCACCATGCACCTGTGATGACCTGTCCGGGGTGTGCTTCACCCCTCACCCAGTAACTGCTGGAGACAGGCACCAGCTCCCTGCAACCCTGAACAGGAACAACTTGAYGATAGTGGATGGATGGTTGTTGATRGAAGAAAATTGCAGATCTTATWTTGTGTTTCTGAACTGATGAATCATCTTTCTATGTGTGCAACCATGTATGGTAGAAAAATACTGTCACTCATAGGGAAATAATTCTAAGAAACTATAGGGTTTGGAGTTCAGTGTTCAGTAGTAATATACATTTTCATGCAGTAACTGATGCCATGCTTGTGTACCATTTGATTCATTATATTTTGCTGATGCAAACTCTGCTTTAGATTGAAGTGAAGCTTACTGTTGACTCCATCGTCTCATGGAGTCAACCTTTGCAATGAAAGCTGAATGATAGTAGAGTTAATGCTGCCTCAGAGGGAATCATCATATCATTTACGTTGCATTCAGATTCCGGGTGTAACGTCGAGTGGTGATCAACGGAGCGGCATGATACGCCACGTTTCAGGGCCACTGAGCAGCTTGTTCAGCTGACGGAGAGACAGACTCAAGACGGTGAGAGGAGGAAGAGGGCGGAAGAGATAAGACCAGGGTACCTGCAGACTGCCTGCAAAATAAGGGAATTTGTTTTAAATGATTTAGACCAAAGATTAAAAATTTACTGAGGTGAAACATTCATAGATTCCACATCTATCAACTCATTGCTTTACAACCAAACAATGTCATGTTCCAGTATTTTGGGTTGAAAGGTTCATTTTTCATGTCTTCATTAGTTATACAAGGGTTTTAAACATATCAGGAATTTCTGCAAGACAAAATTTTATGTTATTTAAAAAAATCATTTAAGAAAACAAATATTTGTTTTGATTTTCTGTATGCAGGAATAGTTGGTGCATTTTGATGTTAGGAATATTAAAATTTATCTGCATAAATTTCCCAGGAACAGAAGAAGTGAACTTGTATGACAACAAGCTGCAGAAAACAAAGGAAACAGTGTCCTTAATACTGACTGGTATGATTCAAGTGGCTTTATCTATATATATCTAATCATATATGGTTAACAATCAGAGAACTCATTTATCATGAGGTTTTTTTGTGCACAAACATAAAYAACAGTCAGCACTGGAAGACGAATCTAAATCCATAAAAGAAGGATTGCATGATTTTATAAAACCATGCAACTGTGATACTATAGCTTAATACTGCAATGATAAAATCATTTATAATAAAGCCACATTTTCCTCACTACTGTTGTTTTATTTCACTATCACAATATCAGCAATACTAAGCATTTCTGCTGTTATCATCTAAATTGACCAAAAAAATGAAAAGGCTCAATCTAATTGTCAAACATGTCACCATCATGCAGTTCGTGTGTCTGTTTTTTTTTAATGCAAAAAAACCTCAGATGCTCTTCTTCCAACTGAGTGTTCTTCTTTAAAGGAGACATATCCTGCTTTTAAATCCTTCTTTTTMACATTTAWAATCATTCAGTTGGGGTCTACTGTATATAAAGTGGAACTGCAATGCTTTGGTCTGAATTCCTCTTGTAACTCCACAARCCCCTCTTTCACCCCTTTTTATTTTTATGTTGTCTCTTTAAATCCAAAGGAGGTTCTTCACACCCCACCCACATCCATTGTCCATTCTAGTTTGATAAAGGGGGTTACAACTATATAGTGGTGCATGGACTTTTTATTTACATATTAAACAGTGTCAACAACAGAAGACTTGTTCATCCAGCCTTGTTGGAGCCAGAGTCTGACCCAGAGGAAGGGAAAATGAAGTTGACCAAATTGTAGTTGGTAAATCCAGACCTTATTTGGCCGTTCTGTCGCAAATTCTGTGGCCTAATTGTTCAGAAAACATCATAAAAAATAGAGAAAACTGACAAAAATGACTTTTATAAAATAGTGGTTCTTCAGTGTTCAGGTCAGTCTTAGACGATGATGTGGATGATGCAAATTTATGATGTCTTTCCGTCTCTTCTCACTACTCACTGACTTTTATGACACTTTATATAAATATGTGTAGATTATGAAATCATAAAGATAGAAAAATGCACACACTTTCATAAAGAAGTGTTTGTTTTTGAGYATGGCAGAGGTTCAACATTTCCAAGCAGTCCCTAAAAAGAAGCTACAAAAACAATGACATTACATTGCATAATAAAAATACAGCACTAAAATTATTTCCATAGTTGCTGTAGTGTTGACACAGGCCTGATTACACCCACTTGCCGTGCTCTTTGCAAAACCATTGACAGATTTAATTATTTGACTTGTAAAAAATAGAGCATAAAATTTTTGTTTTCAAGTGGTGGGTAGAAATTGAAATGAAGCGAAGATAACTGGGATCCTTTGGATAGCCGTGGGTGTCCTGCAGCGGTCGGTGTGGGGAAGCCAAATTGAATCCCCCTGGCTCAGGGTCATGGCACAGTTCAGATGTTTATTGACTAAAYGTCAACTGCCCAGGTGAACATGATTCACAACTCAGAGGAGCCAAATTCAACAATCCATCACCTAGAGGAACATTCAAACAGCACACAGCTTAGTTCTCAATACCAAACCGCACCTGATATCCATCCATCCCTCCATCCATCCATCCATCCATCCATCCATCCATCCATCCATCCATCCATCCATCCATCCATCCATCCATCCATCCATCCATCCATCCATCCATCC